GAATCAAACGGGCCCATAATATGTATTAAGGCACTTCACGGGATAAGTGAAGTCCGCAGTGAGCCGCCTTCATTAACTAAAGACCCCGAGGCACGAAACGTGATTAGTTACCCAAGGGTATCACGTGATCAAGTGAGATTAGTTATAATTACATTAAATATATTTATTTAAATATGGAACAGTTAATGTTCATTAAAATAAAATATGTCTCATAGAACGTATATAGTGTCGAACAGAATAAACTCTTGTTTCCTACTAAGGTTCCGGTCCAAAAGTGAACTTCTCACGTGGAATAACCCGAGTGTGGAATTTCATATACAACCTTTTTGAAATTCATTTTTGGGAAAGAATGAATTTTTGAATAATATATTGATAAAAAATATGTGGTTAAAAAATAAAGAAAATTTTTGGATTAGCGTGTAATATTATTTTATTGAAGAATATGTGGTTGAAATGATGTCAAAACACTGTTGAAAAATGTATTTTTCCAAAAGAATGGAAATCAAACAAGGGCTAAAATTAAACGTGTGCTACACTATTGGGTTAACATTCAGGTTTGGATCCAAGACCGGGTTAATACATGAAAAAATATTTTTACACATAAAAAGCTATTTTTACAAAAAAAATAAATAATAATAATAATGAAAAATGCCTTTAAAAAAAATAAAAAATTATTGGGTCTTGGTGGGGGCTATAGCCCAGCTCTATCCTCCCTACATCCCTTCCTGGTATCTGTATTGCACGTTGTGAACACGTTCACAGATTCCATACCTACAATCCACAATTCAGATTTCATCACTGTTAACCACACTAAAATTTAAATGGAATATTCGAAATAAAACATACAATAGTTGCGCGAATTAGTAAACCAATCCATGCAAACGTTACTAAGTCAGTCATATACAGACACATACAATTTCATGATCATGGAAACTAGAAAGAAGGTCCATGTTACAAAATAAGTCTATTAGGTGACTCGACAAATTAACAATTCCAATTAACGGATTTAAAGAGATGAACAAACTAAAAGGCACACCATTAAAAAACACTTAGTTGTTCATATCAGGTGCATAGTCGTACATAACATTGAAAATAAAATTATTAATAAAAAACGACATATGTGAAATTTCATGAATTCGACCAATCAAAAATTCATACGGCTGATTATCAACAAAAAAATTCTCAAAAATTTATCAACAATTCATGGGAGGAGGAAGATTACGCACCTAATGATGCCGATTTTGATGATTTTTTTTTTTTTTTTTACTCGCAGATGAACAGTATATGATATTTACAAACTACACATTCGTTTGGAAAAATCAAATTGATTTTAAAATCCCCATTCAATTGCAGTATTATTTGATGCCCAACTTGATTCCAGTTCTCAATAATTTTAGTTACATAATCACAAAATAGGAAAGTTTCGGCAACTGTAGTCTTGGAGTTTTTTATACGAAAGTCAATAAATAAAGAATATAAATCTTATTGTAGTATATAATGAATTGTTTTTGTTTCAACGGGTATAAATGGTTTCTTTCCTTAATTTAAAAAGAGTTTAATTATGGTCTCTTTCATAATTTAGAAACAAGGTTTAAAACTTAAAAAATCAGATATCACTAAATTTTATTTGTGAATAATTAATTAAAAATATATTTTATTAATTAAATATATTAAGGTCACAATTTCATATAATTTGGTCACAAATTCTCTAATTAATTGGTTATAATTTTTTCTCGGTCACATTTCAAAAGTTTTACATGTTGCATATTATTTTTTGATCACAAATAAAATTTTTTATAGGTCACAATTTATTTCTCAGTCAGAAATCAAAAATTTTTATATATCAATTTATTCATCGATCACAAAATCAAAATGCTTATAGATTAAAATTCATTTATCGGGTCATAAATCACACAATTTACAAGTCAGTTTATTTAATGGTCACAAATTATTAAATTAATTAATTACAAGTTATTTTCCAATCACAACTTAATAAATTGTGAATTACAGTCATATTTTTTTAAATCATATATTGTATATTGATCACAAATTATCCAATTTATTAGTCATAAACACCCTCGGTCTCACTAAATCACCACATCGCCACCAAAACCACGGTGCCACTGCCATCGCACCGCCTGCACCGCAATTATTTGTGACTGCCACCGCCAACAATGTTAAATCTACCACTACACCACCTTATCAGTGCCAAAACCACCTACACCACTGC